ATGAGCCTCTCTTTCCGTCTCCCCCACACCCCACACCTTCCTACCAAATCCCTTCCTTTTCCCTTCCTTCCTTCCTTTCCCATCCCTCCTTCCTTTCCCATCCCTCCCGCCCTTCCTCACCTTGGGTATCTTGGCCCTCAGCTGACTCGAGAGAAGCGCGTGTTGCGGCTGGCCCGCGCTAAGCTGCCGTCTTTGCACCGTACGCTCGGTCACTTCGCGGACCAGCTGTTGCGTGTGTCCATAGTCAACCAGCCTGGGAGGTCGAGGTGGTGGGTGTTGGTAGAGAGTTAGATACAGCGGTGTTGGCAGTGAGGGTAGAGGTGGCAGAGGGGTAGGGGGGAGGGGGTGGCAGTGTTAATAGGTGTTGGCAGAGGTTGGTAGAGAGGGATATTGGGGGTGTTGGCAGAGGTGGTAGAGAAGGGAAAATGTGTGTGTTAAGAGTAAGGAGGTTGTTTTAGCCCTGTAAGAATTGTCGCGAGAGGGGGGGGGGGGGGGGGGAGGAGGACGGAGGACAAAGAGTGGGAGGGAATTAGATAAATTGAGAGGGAAACAAGGGAGGTGAAATTAACTAATGAAAATATTACAGTAATGGGTGAAATGTTCTCATAGGAAAATCGGTGGTTAACGAGAGAAAATGGGGTTATATATACTGGCTAAGATGAGCAATTGCATGAGAAAGAAGGGTTTGTTTTTTTTTTTTTTTGGGGGGGAATAATAACTACTATGGATGATGGGAGTGAGTGACAGAGAAGGTGAGGGGGGGGGAGGGGAAAGATGAGAATAAATGAGTAAGAACGGGGGGGGAGGAGGGGCAATACAAAATGAGAGGAAGGAAAATGGGACAGAGTCGCCATCCTGATAGACTGATAGACTGAGGTGGGGAAAATTTAGCCTTCTGGTAACAAAAGAGTATAAATGTATTAGAAAAGAAAATTGGCGAACAAGTGGCAAAGGTTAATTATAGAAAGAAGTGGAGAAAAATGGAGGGGGGGGGGTAAATATCCTGGTTTGGGAGAAGGAATGGTTTAAATATACTCTTTAGCAGAAGAAGGGTTAGACATATTAGTGTGGCCAAGAGAGAGAGCCAAATATACTCATTTAAGAGATGGAGGGGTTTAAATATACTAAGATGATTAAAAAATCAAAATGTAAAATAAAGAAGGAAAGACAGGGAGAGAGAATGGTGTAAAGAACGCTGGAACTACAGAGTGATACTACACACACACAAGTTAAACACGAACAAGGCCATTCTTCGTGGTGTCTCTCTGGTCGTGATCTGGAGACTTTCTAAGGCTAGCAACAGAAGGCAGACTACGTGCTTTGCTGATGCATAGCAATAATAATGATGTCAATATAATAATAATAATAATGATAATAATAATAATAGTAATAATAATAATAATAGCAACAATGACAATAAGAAGTAGTAATGATGAAAATAATTATAATTAAAACAACAATAACAATAAAAATAACAGTAACAATAAAAATAATAATAGTAATATTGATAATAATAATGATAATTATATAGCAAATGATCATAACCATGATAGTGGTCATCATCATCATCATCACAATAATCATAATCATAATAATAATAATAATAATAATAATAATAATAATAATAATAATAATGATATATATGAAATATATGACGATCATCATCATAATAAATAAGAAAATGTAGGTATAAAACAGTTATGACATAATATGCAATAACTACAGTTTATATTTAAATCAAAATAAGTGAATTATATACTTTTTTGGATTATCAATATATAAATATCATACATATACTATCCTATTAATGTAAATATAACAGCAGACCATAATCTGCATAAAATATGAATAAAAATCCTCACTTTTTACAAGCTGATCTTTTTTCCATTTAACCCAATGCTTCCGGGAAAATCCTGTGCCCCTTTTTATCTTTTTGTGAAATGTCTCTGCACAGATGGCTCTGCTAGTGCTTAGCCACAAAGGAATCAATTACCTTGAATTGGCAGGAAAAAAAAATATTTAACTAATGCTATAAATTATGATGCTGTTATTCATTATAATTATCATAATGTCATACACATTAGTAACAACAAAATAAGATAACGTAAAATATTTTTGTTAATCAAGATAAATGGCAAGACAAGCAGTACTCATAATTGGCTCATTGGTGACTTAGTACAAGTGTAGCCATCTATGGGTAAAAACAATTATCAAAGTAAACTGACAGTGGGCATGGCATTGACGTACACATCATGCCCAGTGGCATTGGGATAATTATTACACTTTTCAGTCTGTATTTTTCCCAATCTTGTGTATATATAAGACAAAATATATTGGTGACAACTGCCTTGCAAAAAAAATCATGCTGCAGTATTATCAATGATATCCATCAAGATGTATTTGATACGATCTTGGTCAAAACATCTGTGTAGCAGAGACTGTCAACACCATCAATGTAGCAGAGACATACAGCAAGTTAAACAATAGCATATTATGAAAATCTTGAATGATTTTCCATTCATTTTGATAATTTGATTTTCCTAACGGGTAGGAAACAACAAAGTAACTGAGATTGGCTGTGACATTACATCACCTTTCCATATTCATTTGAAATTTGCTGTACCTATGATGGAAAGTCTACAATCCAAAGTCAAACCTGATAGTTGTGTCAACTATTTGCAGAGGCCTCCATGCCATCAATGCTTAGAAAAACAGTGTAATTATTTTAAATTGTGTTTAGCAAATCAACAAAACTCTACTATGTGTATTCTGACAAGAGAGGGCTTCTAGACCTTTCTGAAAATTTATCTACAAGTAATATCTTGCCAAAACATTTCTGTAGAAAGACTGTTTGCTTTTGCTGGAATGCTGTAGGCACAAAGGCTGTAGGAAGCAAATGACAAGATGACCCTCTTGGTTAATGCAACAACTGCTCTCAATATAAGTTACAATATCAATGGTTATAGGGATTGCAGCCCCTGGAAACTATATATATAAATTTTACCAATGTAGATATCATTTATTGCTATTAGTATTATCATTGTTTACCCACAATGGTAGATCTTTAGACACCTGCATGCTTAAAATTAGCTTACATGCCATCTACTGCAGTAGCTGGTATGTAAGCATAAGCTGACTAATCTCCGCCATGCATATTCTGGTAAGATAAAGATTGAAAACATCCAAGTAGGATTGAATTCATGCTCTACCATGCCTAGTGGAGAGTTGTTGGTTTTTGGCAAAACAGCAAGAACTGAGCTGTCGACTGACTCACATCAATATCATGTTTATAGTTTATGGTTATAGGCTTTCCATCACAGATCAGAGCAATTAGTTTCAACTTGATTTAAAGAGAACACGCCCAATGCTATTAAGATGAGTCCCATTGAAAGGCACTGAGTGCATCTTCAGAACATTTGCTATGAAAATTTTCCAAAAATTCTGCTGGTATATTCCCCCCAGCATCTTCTTCTTCTTCTTCTACTGGCTTGTTCCCTGTGCGGGGTTGCCGGTGCGGATCCATTATCTATCTGTGTCCGCATCATGATTAGGTTGGCACAGTGTTTTATGACCGGATGCCCTTCCTGATAACAACCCTCCTTCTTTATCCAGGCTTGGGACTGGCACCGAGTTGTGCTGGCTTGCACCCTCTGTGGCAGGTATTGGCAGGTGGAGACTGTTGCCCCGAGTGGATGCCCTTCCTAACCTCGGCATATCAAGACCAAATTCAATATTGTAATCAATTTTACTGAATACATTCCCTTTGCATTTGTCATCACAAATTAAACGGTCTTTTGAAGCATGGTTTACGTCCAATTATATGTAAGCTTTGTATGTGTGATACAATATCTGGGTACGCGCACATCTCAGATCCAGCGGCCGCCATTTTGTTCCATTTCTAGTGTGACCGATGGGTTTATCGATTTGGACATATTTTAAAGGTAAGTGGTCTCTTAGTGTAATGTTCAATCTTTCATGTCAGGAAGTTTGATGGTGATTGGTTCGTTAAAACTTAGTTTTCTGTCGGCCTGAAAATGCATACCCCTCACACTCACCACCGTCTGCCATATTGAAGTTGTTCGAAACTGCAAATTACCTTGGTCAATATCCTTTATTAATGCCTAAAGATATCGTACATGTATATATTTTGAATGATCATAGTTTAGGAGACCCGATGATTAGAGGTGTAGAAAGTGTTCTGCAAGCTGTTCACTGATGCTGTATCGGCCAGTTTAGGTCACAGGATCACTTTCCCGGTTGCTCATTGGCTCATTTAATTTATTTTGTTAACAAACTGCACATCATGTACCTTCTGTGAAAATTTCAAGTGAATATCTTTGATATTAAGGAAATGGCATTAAAAAAATAGTTAGAAATCCTCTGTTAGGGACACACTCGCTCTATTGTTTTACTGTTAATTGATAGGAACAAATGGGATGCCAATTACTAATCTTTAAATGTCCATAACTTCCTTCATATTGAACCTATTCCTATGATCTAGGTGTCATTTTGAAGGTCTTTTCCACCTCTACCTTAATGTTTTTCTCAAAACAGCCATTTGTAGTGTTTGAAATTTTTGGTCAAATACCTACAATATCAAAATACAAAAAACAATGAAGCAAGAATTAGATAATAAAAGTAATCTTCACGTAAAAATGTAAACAACATTATACACCTGAATAAACTAAGCCAAATAAATAAATAAAACAAAAACATACATAACCACGCCATTCCAGAAACAGACGATAAGCCCCAAATCATGTGACATTCCCGTCACCCCATTTCAATCTTCCTCCCTCCTCCCCCTCACAATAAACAAACAAAAATCCACCAACCCATCGCCTTTCCATCCTTTCCATCCCAAAACCCCCCAAAGAATCGACCAAACTGCCCCAAAACGTCCTAAAATCTCACCAAGAGTCCTCAAAGTCGGCGTGAGGGACGGGCATGAGGCAGAAGGAGGCGGACACTGAAGACGTCGCCTTTGTTATTGTTTTGGT